AAGCTGCAACCCAATGTTTCTCTATTTTCATCTCGGCTACAACTTAATTCTTGTTAGCCATAGCTTAATGCTCTTGGTTACCATTTTGGCTACAGCTTATGTGTCTTTGGCTACAGCCAAACACACATGTAAAGGTTTCTTTTCTCTACTTCTAGTTTCTTCACCTGATGCCTGGCGGCGAATCTACATACATTTGGGGGTGGACGATTGCCCTGCTCAATTTTGTTATACCTTATGTAAAAAGGGACTGTATTTTAATTTGCCCCCCACTAATATGTTAGTTTTGAATTCACTAATCAAGAGAGGAACAAGGGAAGAGGAAGAGAGAAATGATAGTCACCTAGATCTAGATGAGGGATTGGGGTGCAAAAATTATTAGAGTAAAAAGGAAGTATAATTGGAAAGGATGGGATTTTAGAATATTGTTTAATTCTTGTATTTTTAGTGGAATCATTTATTATACATTTTAATTTTTTCTATATTTTTACTAAAATAATTTGTATAGTTTAAAATAATTTTGATCTTTATATATTCAATGTGTTGTTTTAATGTAAAAGACTATAAACCTATAGATACTCCAATAGCTTCATGTGTAAAGCTTAGTATTAATATGTGTCCTAGAATTAAGATAGCTAAAAAGAAATGAAAAGAGTTCCATACATCAGTGCAATTGAAAGTCTAATGTACACAATAATGTATACAAGACCAGATATCTATTATGTGATGGACCTTGTGAGTTGCTACAAGTTTAACCTTAGTGAGGAACACTAGAAGGCTGTGAAGAGAATCTTGAGGTACCTAAAAGGTACTATTGATTATGTATTGTACTACCAAGGGAGTGATCTACTCCTGATAGGGTACTTAGATGTGAATTTGGGTGAAAATGAAAATGAGCAAAGGTCAACTTCAGGCTACACTTTCTTGCTAAATAATAGGGCTATTTGTTGGAGTATCAAGAAACATGCATTACCCTACACTCTATAGAAGTTAAATTTGTAACATGCAGTGCAACAATGCAAGAGGCTATATAGTTTAGAGATTTTTGGAACATCTTTAGATTGTAAATGAAAGTACAAATCTAATGTTAATTCATTGTGACAACACAGTAGCCATAGCCTATACTAAAGATCCTAAGTACCATAGTAAAATCAAACATATAGGCATCAAGTACAATTTTGTAAGGAATTATATAGTACAAAAAGTAATCACTGTACAATACATTTATATGAAATATATAATAACATATCCCCTAACAAAATCTATAGCTAAGGAGACATTTGAGAAACATGTAAAGGCCCTTGGCATGCCTAGATTGTGAAAAGAAAAACTTAATGTAATATTTTAGTTATATTAATGAAAATTATTCATGTTCATTATTTACATGTGTGCACGTGAAAATATACGATATATAGCGTGTTGTATAGGTTAATAAGGTTATTCCTCTCATACTAGCAACTACTTTTGACATTCAAGAGGAATGTTTAAAGATGAGACATTTGTATTTGTCAGTAAGACAACAAAAGTGTTGATATGGTATAAAAGAAACACAAATCATATATTGTCTCAATAGAAGAGCAAGTTGAGATGAGATCCATAAGCATACCTAGATCCAATCATAGATCCTTATATCCATGTTACCTGTAGCCAAACAATAAATTCTTTGAAATTGACATCATGTGAGATTGATAGAGTTGAAGAATTTATGTTTAGGTATAGTGAGAATATGACCTTAAGTTTGTACAGTATTAATAATAAATAAAAATGATGTATGCTATTACACACGAGAGTAACACTATAGTAGGTATTTCATACCACATGTGCTTAAGTGTCTGTTTAGATTTCAATTGAATATAATAGATTATGAAAATAATTGATTAAATGGTAGATTTTAATCATAATTGATTATGTTATAACTCAATCTATTTAGATACTATTTTTTTAAAATTGATTTTAACATAATTGAAAATGTTTGAATAATTTATTCATAATCTATTTTAGCTGTATAAATTATCATAAAGGATATTGCTTTTTAAAATTAAATTATTGATAAAATTTGTATCTAATATTTAAAAAGTAAAATATATTATTTAAATTATATATCTAATTAATTATAAAATCTTAAATTATATTAATGTTAATAATTTTAATTTACATAAATAAATAACTCAATATATCTTAGTTTAAATAAATTTAGTAAAAGAGAAAGATTTAATTCTTAAATGCCAAACATCAACTTTACCATAATTAATGAAGGTAATAATGTACAAATTAATTTTTAATGACATCACGAATATAAATCGAATCTGACAAAGATGTTAAGCATTGCTTGAAAGTTTGGCAATATATCCTCTACCAATTAATATTTTATTTAAATTAGTTTTATAGTGAGTGCTAAATGGAAGGTGATGGTTGACAGGAACTTATACTTATAACTTTTTAAAGATCTAAAGTTTGAATTTTACTAAGAAAAAAAAAAGAGAAGAGAGTTTGGTTTTATTTTTATTAAATTTTATGTATTTTTATTTTTTTTCTTAGGCTTTTTTTATAGTTTTCTCATATAACTTTGTAACAAAAGATGTAGAAGCTGAATCTTGTACCTTTGGGAGAAAATCAATTTTTTGGGAAGTTGAAACTTTGACTTTAATATTATCATGAATGTATGTCACAGTGTTAGCTACTTTAACATATATCCTATAGTTATGATAGTTGCGATCTAAAGGTATAATGTTAGGAAAGCGATTGTTTTTTATCAAAGTGATATATAGGCAAAAGAAAGACTGCTTGAAGGAAAGTGGTTGTTTCTTATCAAAGTGATATAAGACTCAAATAGAATGTTCTTTGATCAATGTTGTTAGCAGTAAATACTTGGCTTTATGTGGTAATGATAAGGTCTAACACTACCGGTGCTAACAAATCATGGATTATTATTAATCAACTAATGATAATAATTAAATTTTTTGTTTGAATTAGAGGGATAGGCATTAATGACATTAAATTACAAACAAGATTGAACCCTCACAAGCTCCTACTCATAATAGCCTCACAAGTACCTCAATTGAGAATGTTATTTAACATGATTGCATATCCTAAGCCACAAACTTGAGATCTGATAGGATAAACTAATTCAACTCTTACTCTTGTAGAGCTAGGAAACAGGCCAGCCCTTAACGAGCTCAGGCCTAAAAGAGTCAAGCTTAAATTGCTTGTTTTTCTTTTAAGGCACCAAATTGTAAGGCTCAGTCCTTGAGATAAAAGGTTCAAGGCTGGCCCTGTAGGCTTTAAGCCCTGTTATTTATTTTTATTTTTTATTAAATTTTTTATCAAATTAAATAGTAATACTTCATTTTATTCCACAACTTAAAAATCTGATACCAATATATAGATCAAGAGCACAACCATATCAATAAACAAAATGACAACAATCAAAATAAAACAACTAAAGAGGAGGACTTGAGAGATGCTATCATTTGAGTCTTTGAGCTTGGTGAAGCACTGTCATCGACGAAGGAGCACAATGAAGCACGGTCGTAGACAAAGAAGCACTGTTGGGATTTGGGAGATGCTATTGATAAAGAGGAATGATGAGAGATGAGCATAACTCACATGAATAAGAAATAAATTGCAAAGGGGCAGAATCGATGGAATGTAATCTAAAGAGTTAAGGGATTTATTTGTGATTGTTATTTTTTTTTAATGTTTTTTCCCTGTAGATAGGAGTAACATTTATAAATAGATCATGCTTCAACTTTTTTTTAAGTCAAAAAATCTATCAAAAGTTAATCATTTGAATACAAAAAAAATTTTGCGAGCTTAAACGGGTTGGCCCTCAACCCTTTAGGGCTAGCCCGTTTATTTTTGAGCCCATTAGAACCAGCCCGTTTAAGCCCAAATTACATTTAAAGGGATCTAATTGTAAGCCCAGCGCTCTTATTAAATGGGCCAGCCCGATGGGCTGAGCTCGTATTCACGGCTCTATACTCTTGCATAATTCCAGCTCATTATTAATGGGTTATAAACAAAATATATATATATATATATATATTTAATTAATGTTAACTCAATTTACAACTAATATTTTAAAATATATAATTTAATTTTAAAGTATTTCTAAAAATTGTTTTTTTGTATGATTTACAACTTATCCTCTAAAATTTACGATTTAATTGTTCATTATTTACAACTTATCTTATTTTTAAAAATTTACAATTGAAATATATGTTGCGGAATGAGTTCGAGCATTGTCGATCATGATGGTTTTTACCGTTAATGATTTTGACGCTTGGGTGTCATTTTACAAATTCAAGGCACTCAATTCAATAATTTCCAAACATGTGATTAACTTGACCTTTTCACTATTGATCTTTATTCTTTTAATCTGAATTACAAAATTATATTAAACAAAACACATCTCATATAAAATTACACATCTTTATTCTACTTAGTAATTAGTAAATATTTTAGACTCTCCTCTTAGTAAAATTTTCTTTAATTATTTATTGGACATCTAAATATTTTGAACCATTTGTTTCTTTAACCCCAATTTAGAGCAAATTTGAGGAATTTAAAACATATGCTAAAATATAAAAGGGGAAATGATATTCAGGTCCAAATGATCAATTCATAGCAGCTAGGTCTAAAAAAAAAGTATTAAAAAAATGAGTTACAAGTATCTATTTATGTAACTGTAAATGCGAAAGTCTTTGTTGCAGATCATTGAAAGTGACCATTGAAACTTGAATGTTGGACTCGCAATTGTCTAAATTTATATTGCAGCTTTTTTGTTTTTTAATCAACTTCTTTAAAACCTAATCATCATTAAATTGATTTTTTGGAACCTAATTTTTTCCAGGTATAAAATATTTTATATGTTTTTAGTATTGTGGCATCTAACTTATTCGTTAATATGAAATTAAGAAAAATTCAATTAAAACATGTACTAATTAATTTTCAAATCAATCTAGCCAAGCACCATGCCAAGTCAAGAAAACTGACCTAGAGAATGTTTTGGGCCTTTGTTTACACTAGCTGGCTTATGAATAACCCTAACTCAACAACTTTTCTCACCACTCATTCATCTAAAAATTGATGTTTCTTTTCTGGAATTTCAATATGGTGATTTTATGTAGGCGAGTTGAATCTTATAAACTCATAGACCAGGACAAACCTCTAAACTGATCAAAGAGTCCTTGTAGACGCATTAGCAAGAGGAAATAATTGCACTAGTCTCTCTTTTTTTTTTTTTGTGGGAATGCATGAACACTATTGATTTTTGCCAATAGAAGTCAAATAATGTTGTGCAATCAACATTCGACCAGATAGATTACTATTGTTTTATTGTATTATAATACAAAACAACACATTATACAAATTAGAAGAACAAATTGACTGTTTTTCCTTCACTGCACTTGTACAGAAACATGAATAATAATTAACAAAGTTGAAACAATGACACACAACTGTTCACATATATACGTAAGCATGCACGCACATATTTGAAAAAACTAACCCATAATTAGTCCAATAATACGGATTGTTATTCGGAGATTTTAATTTGATTCAGGGAAAGAGTGGCCTGCAAGTAAATGAATAAAACTAGTTATGAAATGTGAGAGATTACCCGAAAAAAAAGAGATTTGTGATGGAAATTTGCAACATCAAGCTAAAAAGGGCTAAAAATGAGTCACACATTTGTCCAAACATACAGATTTGTCCAAACATCCATCACAAGTTAAATATTTGTGCTAGAATTTGGGAACACCAAATTCCGTGCCAAAATTTTGCTGTATAGGATTCATAATAGATCAATCAAAGTCAACCATATACATTATTATTGCTAATCATTCATGTTAATTATAAGTTGAACAACTAATACTTATTAACAAAATCATATGAACATAAAAAAGAGTAAGCAGTTTCATTATTCATGAGTAACAAACAATGAAATGAAATTCATATCTTAGTTTCCAAGAAAATCCATGGAATCACTCTAATTCAATGCAAAACCGAATAATGCATATATAGTATTTTTTGAGGGGACAAAATTAGAATAATTAATCTAGGTAAATTAATAAAACTGAAAATCAGCCCCAAAAACATTTCATATCAGACATAGAATCTCTCCACTTTTTTATCATCATTGTCTCTCTTATTCCCTACTCATAACCATCGTCATCATTGCACTAAGTGAATATGTTTAGGGAAAAAGATGATATAGAAATGGAGAGGTTCCACATTCTTCTATATATTGTCCAGGACTTGGTTTCTTTCCATTGCATTTTGCCTCTATTGCGTCTCCATTGCAGATTTGAACCGTTCAGACTAAATTTTCACAATATAAATTAATCTGTACTTTTAAAAATTATCAAATAGAAGACATTAATTCAATTTAATAGTTCAGATACGCAAAGTTCCCTCAATGGAGGGAAGCCAACTCCTGTTGTCCATGAATTTTTTTTTTTAAAAGCAAGTAAATAATAAAAATATCCCTCTCTTAATTGAAGAGGTTCCAAATCTTACATCGTTGTGATGGCCGATGATTGGTCTTGTTCATGCGCAAGCCTCTGAACCTATTAACAGACAGTTTCATTAACAGACAAATAATACTACTAAGAGACAAGAATCTTCAATGAATTTTAATTCTTGGATTGGCATTAAGTTTAAGTACATGGAAAATGAGATACTATGATATAATTATATATGAAGCTACAGACGTTAATAAACAAGAGAATTAATGGCAAGAATTTGAAAACCTGTTCTAGTCTCTGGTTTTCATCCACGAGCACGTCTACCTTCATTGATATTAAAAATAAACACGTTATTGAAAAATGTGTGTGAGGCCTCTAATGCCTTTGTAATATTTCAACTTTCCAATTATATATTTTTTTTATATTTTTATATTATTGACTTCTACATAAAATAAGAGATATTACGATATCTTAAAGTCCTAAATAAAATGGTATTTTTCTTTTAATAATTGTAAAAAATAAAAAAATTTATCATTTTGAAACTTGAAGATATACTAAAATGTCTCTTATGAACATTAGAGATTCCAAGCCTCACATACTGTACCCTCAACAAATTGTTCCGGATGAAGAAGAAAATTGCCTTGACACTAATAAAGCGCAAATTAAATAATATAATATTCATCCACAAACCTACAAGAATTTGTAATGTATTTTAATATAAACTGCAATATTGGGCCAAAAAAATATATAGATAAACTGCAATAAAGTAACCTACGAGTTACCTTAATTTTTGAATTTGTTATTGGCGATTTATATTTTATACACGATTTGAGAATGACTTCCATGAAAATATAAATATTCTTATTTAGGACGCAAATACAAAAAAATTATTTTTCATATTTTTTGTCTTCAAATTTGAATCGATATATCTTGTAAGTTTGCAAACACTAGAAAAACTAAAACTTGTTAAGAGCACATAGTAATCCCAAAAATTAATGATCAATTATTGTATCTCGTTATTATAACCGAGAGGTAATTAATTAAGACGAATATATGAGATGATTTTGATAAATGAGCATAACTCTAACCTTTTTCTTAAGAATACTGATCTCCTGTTCAAATGCTTCAGCCTGAAAAGACATGGAATTAATTTATATATATATATATATATATAATTTGTTAAGCATATTATTCACCATGCATATATAGGATTCAATGAACCATTGAAACACACAAATATATGGAGAAAATAAAAGAATATGTCATGTATATAGAAAAATTATAAAATAATAGTACCAATACAACAAAGAATAAATTTTTATATAATCTATTAATAAGTTAAATCAGGCAGATAAAAAAATTGATCTCGTTGGGGAAAAGCAAACCTTGGCTTTTGAAACACGATGCAAGCATGTGCTAATTAGACCTTCTAGCTTCTTTAGTTCTCTTAAGGTCAATCCTTGAAGTTCTTCTCCATTGAGCTGCCTGTTAGATGTGGAAACTATGGATTTGAATCAACAATAAACCCATTTTAACTCAATATAGATTTTTGTTTGTATTATATATATATATATATATATATTGATATTGATAATTTGTAACTCCATAGTCATACCTCAGTTCACGAGTCTTTTCTCTCAGTTCCTTGTTTAGCTTAAAATATTCACCTTCTACCTGTCCATTTATACAAAAGAAAAAAAGAAAAAGAAAAAATCTTCTAGTCTATTATATCTCAGAATTTTTATTTTCAATTCATATTAGATATAGTCTATTATATCATTCAATAAAAAATAACTGTTGTTGAGTAAAGATAATAATGGTGTGTAATGACTATTGCATTTTTAATCTTTGCATAATAAAATCATTCACTCTTTTAGCTGTGAATTAATCAAAAACAGCTAAAGATCTAAAGAGGTAGGATGGTGAAGTATATTATACCTGCAGCTCAAGAGATGGCTGGTATGTCTTGGCAAGGTCAACATTCGAGGAGTGCAAGTTTCTCCTTTCAATCACTTGCCTCATGCTTGAAACAACAAAGATGTTGCAAATTAGCTCATATTTTTCATTTATTTTTAATATATTCTTGTAAATTAATTGACAACGGTACAAAATAGTTGCACAAATCATTATTCACTCTAAATTTTGAATCATTAAGGTGAGTGTCAATGGATTCCATAAGCTTTTGGAATTAGTTAAACAATTTGATATGTAAATTTAAGAAATAAGAAATGATCATGCATGTGTGTGTTGGGATATAAGTGGAAGTACCCATAAAGTCATCGCCTCAAGGTTTTGGGTTAATATATGATATCTAGCTCAATAATATGTGCCCTCTTGTTTTTTCTAGGAAAGCTAGTTTCTCCCCTTTTCAAGATGATCTTTTAGCCCAACAAATAGTATTGGAGCCTAGTTTGATAGGGACTTGTGCGATGACAATTGATGGAAAGCCCAATTTTAAAATGTCTCCATCGCACAATATATTTATGTAATCAAGGTGGACTTACACTAGGGGGAGGTTGTTAGAATATATATAATACAAGTGGAGATAAACTTACTACCATTAGATTTTGGATTAAAATATAATGTTAAGTAGACTTGCATTTATTATCTTGTTTTGTTGCTAGGCCCAGCTAGTATCTCTCCTTTTCAAGATACTCCCTAGCTCTAACACATTTTTTTAATTTTTTTAATTAGCCAGATAAATTCAACACCAAAGTCACCTAAATGAAATTCAACATTAAAGTCACTTAAGTGGAATCTACTACAAAAGCTAAAAAACTGAATTAAGAATATCGTCCAATGAGTGCATAAAATTTTCAAAATTTGGAATGTTACTCAAAGGAAATTCAACACTCTAAAGTCAAGTTTCTAAAACCATCCCATCATTAGTAGCATCACTCAATATTGTCTTGTGCCACCGACATTTTCTTGTGCATGCCACCACTACCACTAGTTGTTTTCAATTCCTCGATAGTTTTGACCTTTGAAATAATCTTTGTTTAGATTGCATTAAATCATCTTGGAATTTTTTGATCCTTTGCCTCATCTTTTCATAAAACTCTTTTAAAACTTCCACGATGATCTATTACGGGCATATAAAATTGCCTTAGACTTTTCATTTTGTCTAGATTTTGGTTCAAGGCATTTTGCTATCTATCTTGTTTGAATTTGGATTGTCTTACCAAAATGTTGATTTGTCCTACGAACAAAGTATACTAACAATGAAAAATCAGTTGGAATCATTGGTGCCACAACTTCAAATACTAATTTAGTCACTATATGAATTTCAACTTAACAATTCCTGATTTCAACGAATGCATGCAGGTATATGTATATGGTTCCTTGTTCCATTCCTTGCCCAAAAAGTGGATTTCAAAGGTTGACTTATACTAGAAGAGCAGATTGTTGGGGTGTTAAAAGCAAATAGATGAAACTTGAGTTGAATTGAAGAAGAGGTATCCAAGTGGAAGGACTTATAAACTAATAACCTGAATGTTTTGAGTTATGATGTGGTATTGAGCTTACTTATATATGTATCTTCTTGTTGCTAGATTTAGCTAGTTTCTTCTCCCTTTACAAGAAGATCTATAAGCCTAACAAATGGTATTAAAGTCTTGGTTACAATTTAGATTAGTTGTGTGAAGATGGTGAAAGTCTAATTTCTTGAAATTATAATATCTTAATCATCTATAGGTCATATACACACTATATATATCTCCAGAGATGTGGAGAGGATAAGCAGTACATCATGCATGCGTTTTGCACTTCTCAATCTTCATTAGTAATTCTGACTCATCTTGAACTCAATGCCCATTTAGTACTAAACAATTCTTAGGGAGAACAGTTCATATGTTTACATAAAACTCATAACATTTTTAAATTAACAAAAGCCAGGAACATAAGCAGCTTAATGAAATCTTATGTTCCTGCATATGCATATATATTATGTTTTTGTTTTTGTTTAACCACCATGTTTATAATGGTAGGCTTGAATTTTTAACATTAATTGTTCAAAGTGATAGTGTGAATATTATCAAAATCATGAATATTATTATTATTATTATTATTATTATTATTATTATTATTATTTTTGAATATTGGGCCATGAAAAAAATCATGCAAGGAAACCAAAATCAAGCCATGTCTAAAACTATAAAACTAACACAATCAGGAGATGGACCATTTAAGATCCTAGTATCAAAGTTATCGTGAAGCATGAATAATATTGAAAGTATGATTCACATAAAAGTTGAACAAATTACATGGTCTTCCAAGACTAATAATGCAAGTAAAGCTGATGTATGTATTTTCAACTATGTTCAAATTAATTACATAAAGACTTCATAATTTTAGCAGTAAAACCTCAAAACATTGTAAAAATGTCGGAAGATGAAAGCAAAACAAGCAATTATTAATAGTAGATCGAATTATTCATTATCTCATGATTAGTTCTTAGTTGTTAAATACATGGTAATTAAGTAATAATCTAACAGATCAGATACATAAATGCTGAACCAGTTCTTAAATTCAAAAAATTGAAAGGAAAAAAAAAAAAACAGACGAATGAATTATGGGTTAAGTTATTGTGCATAGTAAAACACTACCAAAACTATTATACACACATTTAGAAGAAAGCATGGATGAGACGAACAAAAGCATAGATCAGCTGATTTCTTTTCCTCTAAAAAAATTCAAGGGAAAAAAAAAAATCTCAGACGACGTGATTGGAATATTCAGATTATTCTGATTTCTACTAAAAGAAATAAATTATAGAGAGAGACAGAGAAGATACCTTGTACTACAGTAATCAAAGAGTTTGCCAGAAGCAGAAAACACACAGAGTGCAATCTCAGCATCACAGAGAGTAGAGAGCTCCACGGCCTTCTTGAATAGACCTTTCCTTCTCTTTGAGAAAGCCACTTGCCTCGCTGCTACGTTCTCGATCTTCTTTATCTCTATCTTCCTCCTTGTCATTTCAAACTAAACACGCACAGATTCAAATCAAAATTACAGAAGCTAAATTAAATCTGCAGCCAAGAAGATATTAAAATGAACCAGTAAGGAAATTCTCGGGTTGGATATACGTTGAAGAAATACGCAGAAAGATCAGATAGCTAGGGTTTGATGAGAAGAAGAAGAAGAAGACAGAAGAGTTCTTGTCAGAAATAATAATAATAAAAATGGAAGATTGTGAGGAAACCTGGAGTTAGGGTGGCTTGCTAGTTGCTATCTGTTGAAATTTTCTTGGGATCTCGTTTATGCATCTTGTGTGTTTTCACTTTCTCTTTTCCCAGGTAAAGGCCTGTTCGGGTATTTCTCAAAATTAATTATGCCAATCAAAATCATGGTTTTAATTTTTTTTTTAATTCAAACACACCACTTTTTCAAAACTTCGTTTACTTTTCAGAACTCCATTTTGCATAAGCTTTTTTCTTCCTCAGAATCAATTAAATTTTTATCCTGTGAAATGCATGGGTTGGAGAGAGAGACAGTAGAATTTAATAAAAACTATACATTAAATTTTAATTTTAAAAAATTGATAAATGTTTGTTTAAATTTAACAATTAAATAAAATTATTCCAACTTTAATTCGTTAGAGTTTAAAATATATATTTTAAAAGTTTAGGGTTCAAATTGTCTCGAAACATATAGTTTAGGGTTTAAATCACATGTTAATTCTATTAAAAATTATTTTAATATCTTTAAAGTAAAATATATTACTTTCCCCTTTATTTTATCTTAGTGATAAATATTTTTTATTTTAGAGGCTATATGAATCTCTCTTAAAATCAATAGTTAAGAGTGTGTTTGGCTAAGGGGTTTTAGATGGGTGGAGAGGAAACACTCATTTGGTTAAAAAAATTTGGAGGGGAGGGAAGCCAAAATAATCCATCCCCTCCTCGCCAATAAAATTAAATAAAGTAATATTAAAATCTTTCTCTTCCTTTCCCTCCTCTTGGACCAAACATATTCTAAGAGTTATAAAATATAAATACACCTTTTATTTTTAAGTTGTATTTTCATCCATCCAATCACTTATTGACATTAAGTCACATATGTTGAACAAACATACCATCATTAATATATTTTTTAAATTTATTAGTCATACAAACTAATTTATTTAATGTTTTTGAAAAAATTAAATACACACTCCATCTTTTCAAAAATATAAAGCATTTTTAACCGAATCTCACTCCTAATAAATTAATTTATTTAATTTTTTTTGAAAAAAAATAAATACATACTCCATCTTTTCAAAAATCTAAAGTATTTTTAATTAAATCTCACCCCCAATAAAGTAGGTACTTATTTTTAAAATAACAACATCTTTTCATATTTACTATTTAACTTGGTGTTTTACTCTAGCATAAATATAAAATAATTTATTTATTTAGTAGGGACACTTTTGAAAAAAATGATTACACCAAAAATGCCTTATATTTTTTAACATCCAACCTTTAAGAGAAAACCTTAAAAATAACTTGCATTTTTTAACTAAGGGAATAAGTTTACTAAAATAATATATCAAACAATTTGCCAAAAAAAATAATGGAATAAGAGATAAATTAATCAATATAATTTATGTTTTATGTTTATTTAAATTTTATAATTTTGATAGAATATTTTTAAGTTACTGTCATACTTAATTGTTAAGCTTATTTTTTGTTAAAAATTGTTTGAAGTTCCTTAAATTAGGAAGCAAGAGGATAGACAAATAGATTATAGGGGTAAATTAATAATTTAAATTTTGTTAACATAAATACAAATAATAAATCAAAATATTTTAGAATATTTAACATAATATTCCTAACCATATTGTAAAGGAGACTAAAGTATAAGTTTTTAAAATAAAGAAGAAGCCTTTATAATTCTAACAAAACAAAAGGAATGTTAGTTTATTTTATTCTATAATATATTAATTTGTGAAAATTAAAATATAAAGAATGTTTTGTTTCAAAAATTTTTTTGTTAGTATATATTAAAAGTATAAATAATAATTTATTTTATTTTAGAATATATTGTCCCGTATAAGTTAAAATTTAAGGAATAATTTCTTCTTTTTTTCCTAAAGTATCCCTATAGCTGTCAAGTATGAGATTAAAATTTTAATAAGATGATACCTATAAGGAACAACTTCTATTTTGCAAATAATTACTTTATTACATACTAAAAAAATATAATTATTTTTTAAAATCTATTGTCTCTTGCAATTTAAAATATAATTTAACTTGTTCTTTTTCAAAATGTGTTATCCAATATATCACCTTAAGAAAAATAAGGCAGATACTATAATGAATCAAACTATAATTTATGTGATAATATTATTTATAAATCATAATTATAATGGTTGTAAATCAAGTAAATGATATAATTCATGTTTTAATACCATTTATCAATCATATGTACAAGCATTACAAGTAACATAATGATTATTAAAAAAAGATTAGGTGTGTAATAGAAGATAAATTCATTAATATTATATAATCAACTTGTATCCCATCATGTTTTTTGCTTAGACTCAAGGCACATAATTACATCAATATTTTTTATAGGTGTTCAAATCATATTCGACTTTTACATATAAATGATAGAATAATATATTTTTATAACTTATGCATTTGAAGAATATAAACAAAAACTTGTCCTATATATAGTCATACAAAATATTTTGATTTGTTATTCTATGTTAATAATAAATATATAAAAAATTCTTTTTATCTTCTCCCATATAAATTTTATTATATGTCTAATATGTATTATTTTCAATAAAAATCTTATATCCACCTCTAATTTTTACTATATATCCTATATGATCTTTTAAAATATAAAAAATCTTATCATTTTTCACACCTTATCTAAAATTTTAACATTTACAAATGAAAATTCATATGACAAATGGTTTTCTTCTTATATAAATAAATTTTATTAATTAAATTACAGGTCCCACTCACATTTATAAATGTAGACTCCCACTTTTACATATTTTTAATGGTAGTTCCACACACTTTTTATACCACACTACTCGAATTGTTTAAAAATCAAGTTTATTAAAATCTTACATTTTCTTCATTCCCCTTGGAACCTCAATTCATATTAAATTTAAAATATCTGAATATATAAAAAATGTATAGTCTAGCCCGACATTTGACACTTCTAGTTTTTGAATTTATTTAGGCTGGTTTAATTTAACTACCCAAAATTGTTAAAAATTATTTTATTTTATTTTCTCTTTACTAGTAAAAATCTTATATCCACCTCTACTATGAATCCTATATGATCTTTAAAATATAAAATATTATTATATTTTTTACGTCTTATATAAAATTTAAATATTTGCAAATGAAAATTTATATGGAAAATTTTTTTATCCTACATAAGTAAATTTTATTAATTAAATTATAGGTTCCACTTACATTTATAAATGTAGACCCCCGCCTTTTCATATTTTTTTGGCTAATTTATATATTTAATTTTTTTAAAAAGTTACAAAATAAACACATTTAAATAATAAAAAATTAAATTTTTTATAATTTAAAAAATTTTTAAAAAATATTTATATTTAAATACAGATATTTTGGTCCAATACACATGACTTAATAGTCCACTAATTGTTAGATGAATGAAAATAAAATATTAAAAATAAAAAGAATGCTTGTATTTTATAACTATTTATATCAAGAAATGTTCATAGACTTCAAAAAGCAAAAGAGATGTATCACTAATTTTAATTATAAGTTTCATATTAGCAATTTATTTTTTTAAGTCCCACATTTACGTATTTTGCTACACGCCCATAATATTTTATAGCTTTTTTACTACATCATATTAAAAAAATAAACAAAAATTTAAAAAAAAATGAAAAGTCAGTTAGATACAACAGTGACAAATAAACACGTAAAAAAATGAAGTCAAATGGTACTGTGAATCTACAGTATCGCAATAGATTATAGATTTTCGTATTTGACATTTTTCCAATTTTTTTTCCACTTTTCCTTTTATTTATTGTAATTTTTGCATTCAAAATTAATTTTAAAAAATCATTCAATCATCTTTAATTTTATCAAAATTAATTTTAAAAATGTTATACAAACATCATCATGTTATAATAATCAATTTCTTCTAATTAAAATCCAAGCACACTTAAATTTACAGTAATTTACGTCCACATCACCTTTTTTAAGATGGCCACTAAAGTCATCTTAATGAATGAAGGGGTATGAATATATTTCTTTTTCAAAACTACGTCAATTCTTGCTTCCATTTCGTGGTCATTTACTTGCGGGGTCCAATATCGTGTGTTCAATTATTTTTGATAATGAAGGAGAATATTAATAAAGGACTTGAAAAAAAAATTTCAAAAAAAATAACAAGTAAATATTAATAAATTAATAAGTGGAAGTGTTATCTTAACAAGTACAGTTTATATGGGATCTTTGTAAGATATTGAATTCTTTCAAGGTCTTTTATTGATATTCTCCCTTCTAATTATTGCTACTAACTAATTCACCCTTACTACAAATATAAATTTTAGGAAAAAACTTATATACTTAGTCCTATATACTTAAGGTGCTTGTTTCTTATTAAATTAACACATGTGTATCTATTATAAATTATTTCTTCTATAATAAATTTTTGTTATTAATATTATTAACATATTGGAATCTATGTCTTGACTTTATTGGATGAAAGTATATTAAGTATATAAGGGTGAGTGTATAAGTCTTGCCCTAAATTTAATTAAAAAAATATACATTCTTTAGGAGGCAGATGAAATTTGCGTGAAATACTACTTTATTTTGATTTATAAATCACTTTCAATATGTTTTATTAAAATTAAAAAAAATTAAAAATTATTAATCATGCAAAAAAATGCAATAAGTTTTTAACTTATCATCTATTAAATATATATATTTTAATAACATATTTATTCTCACCCATTTTTAATAAAAGTAAAAAGAAAAAATTGTGATAAAAAAGACTAATAAATTGTTTCTTTCTCAGCCTTATGTATAAAATCGAACATAATATATGTCTTAATTTATAGAATACTTTTAAACAAAATTACAACTACTAACAAAATTCATTAAATAGATTTTATAATTTTATTTTTTGCAAAAAAAATATATAATTTTTCAAAAATATTTGTTATTTAATAATTCATTTATGAAAGAATGTTAAGTGAAGAGAATATGATGAAAAAGATAATATTA